ATGCATGTATGTATGTATATAAAATCCTAATGCATGTTCCTTACACACAGTTTTATCTCTACCTGAAGAAGTCGAGACTTACAGACGTCAACGAAACATTTCGTTTGTAAGTTTTTCCACTTCGTCTCCTCATCTCCACTTATATATATATATATATATATGTGTGTGTGTGTGTGTGTGTGTGTGTGTGTGTGTGTGTGTGTGTATTTGCGTCATGTTGTGATACAAGGTCGGTTTTTAACGTGGAGACCCGAGTGTTTCTATTCGGGCCGCTGGTCTAAGCTGGTCTTAGCTTCTCTAAGCTGTTCAAAGATTATCTAACCTAGTCATTGCTGGGCATACCACCGCTACCTAACAGATGTCACGCAGTGGTGGGGGTGGGGAAGTACGCAAGGGAGAAGAAAAGGCCTCCGGCACAGAACAGATACTACATCTGCAGCATCCATCCCGTCGAGAAAAACCCACTTCTGCCCCTCCTACCCCTCATCTGCCAATCCCTCCAGAAGAATCCGGGTGGAAATCCCGAATTGATGTTTAGTTCTTTCTTTTCTCTTTCACCCACTACCTTCTGTAGTTTCCTTTCTGTGTTTGTTATCAACATTGTATCATCTGCATATCGTATTTTGTTAAAATTATGGCCGCCAATATGAAATCCTAGTCGGAGTTCTAATTCTCTCAAAATCGCTTTTTAGTCTTGGCTAGTTAATAAAAATCTGGGTGCAAAAAATAGTTCCTGTTTTTTCTATATAATATATCCATGTAGCGTAATCTACAAAGAAGCGAATTCAATGACAATCTTTTTTTTAAATCTCGATGCTCGTGTGCATGTTCGCGCGTGTGTGTGTGTAAAATGAAGTTCGTAAACATTGTTTTGTCTATAAATAAACGTTTCTTTTTTAGTAGAATTTTATAACTGCTTGCTGATACATTAACTCACTCAGCATTCTGCCCAGCAACAGAAGAAAAAAAATGGCAAATATGCAATTTCCACCACACTTTTTTACGACCTGCTTTAAATCGTGACACCTGCGCATTCTTTTATTTATTTATTGCGCACCTACTTGCAACTGCAAATAGCTTGATGCACATTCCTGCAAAATAGTGAGGAGTTATGAGAAACGAGGGCGAGAAAATGGACGGTAAGAAGTGATACAGGAAGCGACGCAGTCAATGACGAGAGGTACAGCCACTCCTGTTTATTCGGGTTTGTTTCTAATAATCTCTTGCTTAGATAGACACAATATACAGTGGGGTGTTAAAAAAAAGAAGTAAAAGGTAAGCGATTAAATACATCATTAATCGAATAGCGGATAAACATTAATTGGAATAATATTAAAAGGAATAGATACGGCTCTCCACAATTTCCTACCACTTGTGGCACTTAACAGTTTTTCTCCCTTTCCTAATGACCCCACTCCATGTTCCGGCAGCCTTTCACATAAATTCTTTAAGTCCCTCGCTGCCCTCCCCTATCTCTCTTGTCCCCACGAGTGTTAAGTTTTCCAAGTCGTCCTTCCTCACTATGAGTCCAAGGAATTTCAACTAATTTTCCTGATTTTGAGTAGAAGTGTTCTTTCTGTTGCCATTTTCTTTAAGACTTCCTTGCTGCTTATTCGCTCCGTCCATAGAATTCTCAGTATCCTTCTGTAGAACCATATTTCTGCTGCTTCTAAGTTTTTAACTCGTCCATGCGAAGATTGTCCAATATTCAGTGCCATATAGGAAGATGGATATCACATAGCGATTCAACAGTTTTTGTAAAGAATTTATTTCCATTTCCGAACAATAATTATGATATTTTAATTTTTATTGAATAATATTGAAATCAATCTTCTTTTATATGTCGTGTCCCTTCAGGACGTCGGCTATCATAGCTCTCCACAACTTCCCGTCCTTTGTAGCCCTTAGCAAAGTTTTTCTTTTTGCTATATTCCCTAATCCCTGTTCAGCCAACCATTGACACAAGCTCATCAGGTAAATTATACGCTGTTTCTGTCTGTTCCTCTTGCCTTCATTATGTCCTGTGGGTGTCAACATTTTCCAAGCCTTCTCTCCTCATTATGTGTCCTATGAATTCTAAGTGTCCTTTTTCTTACCATTTTCTCTAAAATTTCGTCAGTGTTCATATGTTCTGTCTATGGTATACTCAGCATCTTTTTCTAGAACCACATTTCTGTTGCCTCGAATCTCTTCTTCATCTGCAATGCGATTGTTCAACATCCACTGCCTATATAACAGTTAAGTACTCTTTTCTTTGTTTCTACCGAAATTTTCCTGTTTCATATTCCTTTTCTTACCTTTTGAAAGGCATCTTTCGCTATTTGAACGCGTCTTCAGATTTCGGTGAAAATAGCGAAAATTACCGTTCCAAAACAAGATAAAGAAAAACATAAAGATCAGAAACCATTTCTACCTACAGGAACGAAAGTAAATTCCTTCTTCTTTACCTACAGATACATAATAACTAAATGAAACTGAATAAGACGCCATAACCTAATTCTTATAAACTTTAATCTTTCTACCAAAACATGAATAATAAAATAAAAATATTACATACAGATAAACAACATAGACGACATGACTATAAATAGACCTAGTCTATTTACATGCGTCCTCCAACCTCCCAACCAGTATAAATTAGTAATCTAGAAGTTATGACTGTAAATAACCCTTCATTTCCCAGAGATCTATATACACAACACAATATATATACATTCCGCTAAAGGAGTAGTAGCACTTTAACATTGAAGATTAAAACTGCGTCACTATACAGAGTTGGTTGGTATCTCTTTGGTGTATATATATATATATATATATATATATATATATATATATATAATGGACTCTCCTGTCGGTTTCGACGTAAGAGGATCTAATAACTTAGCCAACTGCTTCAGTTCTGAAATTTTTTGCGATAATCTTAAGTGACACTTAAGACCCGCTAATGATTTTCAAAGGAATTCCTCATATGGAGCAAGAGCGAGGATTGTGGGATGAGGTCACTGATAGATTGGCTGACCTTTTAGATCTTGCTCTCTCTTCTTGTAGATGATTCAGACTGGCAAATTGAAAACTGCTGTTTTCACTAAAACACGTTGATCTCCACTCTACCCACTTCAAGGCTAAGCACTCAAAGGGTGTTATGAGGTATATTGACAGCTGACAAGATGCTCTTCAGCTTATTTTGTGTATCTAAGCCATGGGCGTCCTACATTCCTGTAGCCCTGATCATTAGAATCTTGGGTATCCTGTCATCAGACATTTTCAAAACATGACCTGTCCACCGCAACTGAGACTGTATGAGAAAAGTCTTGATTCCTCCAATATTACACCTGTTAAACAGGTCGACACTGGATGCCCTGTCTTGAAGAATAACCCCACAGATGGCACGCAGACAGCTCTAAAGTAATATGCATATAAGTAATATGAATATAAGTAGTACAAGTAATATAAGTAATGTAACTTATATATAGTGGACTCCCTCTTCGTTTTCGATGTATGAGGGTTAAACGGCTCAGTTCTTAGATCCAGCAGCCAGACTACGCACACATATCATTTGATTATAGTGACGAAGGCTTGTGCAGAACCAACCAAACTTTTTGAAGAGCTAAATACAGAGATCTGGTGCAGAGTATGCAACAAGATCTCCAAACGACTCTCCGCAGGTTTAAAATTCAGAGTTATCCTTCTCCTAGACCGATCGCCAATCAATGATATAGGAGCCAATCTCTCCTGTTGTTTACCTATAGTTGGGGGAAGGTAAGAAGAAATGTATTCATACATTTCCCAAGGATATTAGCACGTAACTGAATGCAATGAATGCGACTGAATTCGAACTTGAATATATAAATATATCCATATATATGTAATGGATTAAATCCAACAAATATTTTAATATATTTTCTGTTTAGAAATAACGTATAAATAAAATATATTAAAACATATACATATATATATATATATATATATATATATATATATATATATATATATATATAATTTATTCATATATTATAATATAAATATGTTATAAAATCACTACAAAAATAGCAGCCATTTTATTTCAACACTTCCGGTGTTTTATATTTATTCTACATTCAACACACCATCTCTTGATGAGACACCGCAAGTATTCAAACAAAATGGCTGCTGTTTTTGTAGTGATTTTATAATATATTTATGTTATAATTTTTGTCCACTCTGTATTGAGCACTCTTTTAAAAATAGTATTTGTTGATTATTGTAATTTATTCTGTATACAACAATCCTATTCTTGGACATATATATATATATATATATATATATATATATATATATATATATAATATATATATATATATATATATATATATATATATATATAATATATATTAAGACATTTTTATATTTATATATTCTTTTTATAGATACAAATATTTAAGTAAATCCTCTGTTTATAATAAACAGTATTAAACACATTTACCACCTGAATTTCCGAGAAATTTTCATAGAAAATATTCGTCCTCTGACAGAATCGAACAAAATTGTCGAATTTTGTCCATTTCATAATATATATATATATATATATATATATATATATATATATATATATATATATATATATATATATATATATATAAAAAGAAATTAATGGAATTTTTAAAACCGTCACTATTTCTAATTACTTGAGACTTGTATGGATATATAGGGATGTATGCAAACACCTTTTATATATATAATTTAGGGTTTAAAAATTCCCGTCATTATCATTACTGTTTACTCAATAATTAAATGATATTTCTTGAATTACAACTCAGACTGTCATGAACATGGTCTTCTTTTCATCAAAATTATCTTTATATGAATTATACTACCGAAACCTCTAAGGAAAGAGAGGGATCGAGTCTTGAACATCTGACCCTTGACCCAATCTCCTCCGTTGCTAGTAGAGGTCGACATTAAGCTAATATCATGGCCTCCAATCACTTTCTTGGTAATTTATTTATGGAAAAGCCCAATTAATGAACGCGGAAGAAATTCACGTGAGACGACGGCTTTCAAAGCTGCTGTCACCTGACTCGATTCAGGGGCACAATTATTTACAGCAACGACACCGAAGAAACAGCGGCAACCTGAATGATAGCCCAGTGGTTTCTTCTTCAAACGGAAACTACAGGCGTACGGTTCGCTCCCTTTAATAATTAACCCAACGTGTCCGATTTAAGACGCAAATTAAAACAAATGATTTGGCTTGCTACAATAACAGCCGAATGAGAGCGGACATGAGAGTGGTTTAGGAATTATCAACGCCGAAAGTGTAACCCTGGATGAATCTGCTTTGTTCGTTTCCCAGTAAAGTCCTCGGGAAAAAAAGCATGGATTCATCTTCTATACAGCTATGGGTTAAACAGTAAGACAGACTGGAGTGTTTCGCTTTGGGTGGTAGCAGGTCTTGGATAGGGAAAATTGAATTCAAATCAGTATAAGAAAACAGTTTGAGCTCTTTTGCTCTGGTAGGGCAATCATTCTAAAAAAAAAAAAAAAAAAGGAACCCCTGAATTCAAACCTTCATAAATAATAGAGCCGGTTAGTTGCTTTTTGAATCAATGCTGAGTCTGAATTCAAAACTACACGGAAGAGGAATGGGTTTCGTCAGGGAAGGAAAACTCTGAATTCAAACCCTTTTAAATAATAGAGTAGACTGAGCTTCCTTGCCTTGGTGGAGTAACGATTCTAGGAGAAAAAACGAATCTGAAGAGGTATATGCTTCAATATAAAAGAACCAATTTGAAGAGATGTGTGCTCCATCGTTGAAGGAAACCTTCGTGACAAAGTAGCCTTGGTAGGACAACCAAATGATAACTTTTGCACTGCCCAAAGGTGGCATAACCCGCAATGTGCATTGGTTCAGGTAACTGAGAGGTCATGCTGGTTTTTCTTTCTCCTAGCACTTGTGATTTTTGCCATTACAAAAATAATCCATGTAAATGTATATGTACTAATAGAGAAAAGAATAAACATTTTCATTAATATATATATGTATATGATTTGGAATGTACCTTTTGAGTTGAACAATCTTGGAAAGGGTGGGAGTGACATCCTGATGAATCTGGTGAAAAGTGTGCATTAGGCAAAACAGAGACCAACTGATCTATAACATACGGAAATAAAGGTTCATGCCTTTTCTTCGGGTAAACAAAATGAAACAGCGTTTGAGAAACAAAATTTGAATCACTGTCAAAAATAATTATGGATATTTCACTTTTTTGTGCGTAGGGTTTCATTTTTCCTCTGAAAACAGATAACACATCTGGCCATGGTCAGGATCACGAATTTCGTTACCTGTTTAGGCCTTAAAGTCACCATATGCACTGCAGCTGTGGCAAAGGTGAGTGTGTCTAGGTCAAAATAGACTGATAGTTACCATTCTTCAAGCAGAATTTGAAGTCGTCTTTCTTCTAGACTGGTTGTCCTACCAAGGCTACTTTGTCACTTTCAACGATGGAGCACACCTCTCTTCAAATTGGTTGTTTTATATTGAAACATATACCTCTTCAGATTCGTTTTTTCTCCTAGAATCGTTACTCCACCAAGGCAAGGAAGCTCAGTCTACGCTAAAGTTATCATTTTGAGTCTAGCTATCTGTGGCCCCCAATTACTTCCTCAAACTCTGAAATTCCCGCTAGGGCGGACTTCTCCACTGGTCGAGAAACCCTGTTATAGGGGATATGGCAGTTGTCAACCTTTTAAAGGAAACAATCATTGTCAGAGAAATTAATAAAAGAAAAGAAAATTACAATTCAAATAGTATAGCTGGGTACCCCTGTTCTCATATGCCCGGCTATTGCGCTGACTAGGTACTCCTTGCTGCAGACACCTGGTCGTATTTGTTCAGCGCCGACAAGTTTAAGAAAAAGATATTCAGTTGTCCGAGACTATACTGAGCTTGTTAATGACACTTCTCAAATTTATAGAAAATACAAGATGTAATGTTTATAGTGACTTTACAACCGTAGCTTTGAGGTGGCACAACGCCGAAAGTAGGGGGCACTCATTGAGAATCGAACACACTTACTCAGTGGTAATTGTTCCAGCGAGAGAAGAAGCTTGCTAACCACTACTTCGAGGCGTCCCAAGGTGTGCTATTTATATTTTTATTTTTTATGAAGGATACTGCATGTCTTACTCATTTTTTGTCATACTAAAGCTACACACTATCTACATTATTCGAACTATTGTCCTCATCTTTTCGCCATATTTATTACAACGTTTCTGTCTTTCAGTATCTGTCTATATTTCTAAGATGATGTATTATGTACATTATTTACATTATTCGGACTATTGTCATCATCTTTGTCGCCATATTTATTACAACGTTTCGGCCGTTGTACGCTCAGGCCTCCTTCAGGTGGTTGGAATGTCGAACTGAACCCTTTATTTCGCTTACTGGGGTAGACTCTTCTAGTTCCACGTGCCATGTTTTTAATGGATGTCAGTTATTAGTTATCTCCTCTTATTTCGCTCTGAAAGTTCTCCACTGCCTTAACCGGGTATTGAACTCACATACTTTGGGTCCTGTCACTGGAATAATGTAAATAATGTACATAATCCCTCAACTCAGAAATATAGACAGATAAAACTACACAGTTTTCCGGAAAGACCGATTTTCTATTAAACTTACATGATGGAAGCAACTATCTCTATGCACCTGAAGCGATCATGTTTCTTTTTAATCCTCAAATCACACAAATATGTCACTCAAAGCCAGTTTTGAGCCTGAACCTCATAAAACAAAAAAGACATATTGTTTTCTGTATTTTTTTTTATTTTTGGTTCCGTTCCATACACAGAACCTCCTCCTCCTCATTCAGTTAATTACTTCCGATCTTGGGCCGGTTCTAATTAAACCAATTACAAGAATATGGTTCGAATCGTGGGAAGTGCAAAGATATTAGTGCCAACATGTCGTTGGTTTTACAGCGTAAAATGGCTACTCTTTTGTTTTGAAAGCATTCGGCTGTGAAATAAGCAATGTCAAAAGAAGGTAATTTAATAATGCTTCGTTTTATTTATTTCTGTCGACTTCTGCGTCTTCTTACAGAATTGTTCAGTTTACCTTATTTCGCCTTCGTCGTTGCTTGATTTATATTAAATATTTCACTGTACGACAATGGAATTACTTCCATCAAAATGTAACCTAGTTTTACAGTCAAAATCAAGACAATTAAAAAATTCGCTGGGAGGCCATTTAAACAGGCTATTCATTATTTTAAATTTCATTTTTCCTTTTATTTCCTTTTTTCTTTTTTTTGTCTTTTAATCAGCTCAGTGAAAAAGCGCGTTATATACATGTTAACACTGCAATCACAGAATCACTATCTATCTATCTATCTATCTATCTATCTATCTATCTATCTATCTATCTTATTCCCATCTGTTCATATCTGTTTACCTATCTATATATCTCTATTTTATCATATCTTTTTACTTCAGTCTTTTTATATCTATCTATCTATCTATCTCTCTCTCTCTCTCTCTCTCTCTCTCTATATATATATATATATATATATATATATATTTATCTAGCTATATATATATATTTATATGTATATATATTAAGAAATGGACAAAGTCCGACAATTTATTTATTAAAGACATTTATCAAAGGACGAATATTTTCTATGAAAATTTCTCGGACATTCAGGCCGGTAAATGTTATTTAATACTGTTTATCATAAACAGAGCATTTGCTTAAATACTTGTATCTATAAAAAAACAACGTTAAACATAAAAATGTCTTTAATAAATAAATTGTCGGACTTTGTCCATTTCTTAATATATGACGTCATTTGTTTACATTTGATACGCAAGATATCAGCAGTTATGTACGAGATTCATGGAAAATTGGAGTTTATAAGCAGTAAATTCGACCTTGCCTACCGAACGCTCCTTTGTGGCCGAGAGGTTAGGCACGTCAGCGTAAATGACGGTTCCGTATAGGATGCAGGTTCGAATCCTGTCAAAGGACGAATATTTTCTATGAAAATTTCTCAGACATTCAGGCCGGTAAATGTTATTTAATACTGTTTATTATAAACAGGGCATTTACTTAAATACTTGTATCTATATTAAACATAAAAATGTCTTTAAATAATTGTATCTATAAAATGTTTGTATTTAAAATGTTAAACATAAAAATGTCTTTAAATATGTCAGACTTTGTCCATTTCATAATATATTTTCTATGTTTTTCATATATATATATATTATGTGTGTTTTTTATCTATAAAAGAATATATATATATATATATAGGTATATATCAATGTGTTCATATCTATCTCAACTTTCTCATATCAATCTACTTCATTCTGTTTCTATGTATCTATCTATTTATTGCCCCACTCTATATTAACCTGGATATATATATATAATAAAATAAATCCTCAAAAGCCAGGAAAACCTACCTAGTTTTCACCTAAACGGATCTTCAGTGGAAGCTGAACTCTACTTAGCGTATTGAGCACTCTACGTTTTAGCTTTACTACTACTTTGTTTTTTTTTGTTTTTTTTTCTTTGGATTAAAGACTTAAGGCACTGGACGATTTGCTTCGCCCTGTTTAAATGTTTTTAGTTCTTTCTTTCTTTTCCAATTTTTTCTCGTGTACCAATCTGTTTTCGCATATCTAAAGATTGTGCTATCCGAGCTTTTTTTTACTATTACCGAGTATTACTATATATATATATATATATATATATATATATATATATATATATATATATTATATGAATTTTACTATATATATATATATATATATATATATATATAAAAATTCATACTTTCATTGCTTGCCTTGATAAAGTTCATAAGATGTATGGGTTTTTTCAAATTGCCATTTTTAAACCATATATATTTATGTGTGTGTGTGTATGCGCGCGTGTGTGTGTGTGTGTGTGTGTCTCACGTTTCACATCATTAGCCATTTTATGTTATAGATAGATAGAATACTATTGTATTCTGAAGGTTTATTTGCTGAAATGTGGCAAAATTTATCTGCGTTGTCAGGATGAAAATCAGTTTGTGTATTTAAACAGACAATAAGCATTTATATGAATTAGGACTTTAATTACAGTTATTATAAAACAGAATACGTGTATTATTTAAGGATATTTGACTTTCTGTTGGTGTTTGCAGAAAATGCAACCACAACTCTATTTGATATGTTAACCGGCCATCTCGCAGCTTACAGCGCAATCCGCGCCCAACGTCATATATCGCTTGGCTTCAGATCTCCCCCAACATATGAAAAAAAAAACTTGTTACAAACACACTTATATTATATAATAGTAAAAGAATATAATAGAGGCCTTAACTACAAAATAAAAGAATTTGTAAATAAACAAAATCGTCTTCAACATTAGAACTACGCTTTAAAAAGTATTTAATAACTGACATTACAGTTAACCAATGAAAAATTTCTCTTGCTAATTATTTACCTGTGAAGTTGTTATAAATTATAACGAGCAACGCCATGATTAAAAGTGTCCGAATTAGAGATAGACGATATGGCTGCGTAATGGCTGATCTTGAGAATGATGGGAAACATAGCCGAGAACCCTCGATCACAAACATTCAAATAATATCTATATTTACTGAATCCAAACATACGATCTCTTTGATGTAAACCTGAAAAATTAAGGACTTTAAAAATATATATCTATCGTTTTTAATAGAACAGGTATCTATACATTTATTTACATTTATAGCTACCTTTGCTATTTACATCTTCTTCTGCTGCATACTTTGTCCGTTCAGAACATGAGCGATTCACGACTTCCTGTCCACGACTTCCTGTCCACGACTTCCTGTCCACGACTTCCTGTCCTTTGCAACACTTAGTAAGGTTTGTCGTTCTGCCAACCATTTGCACAAACTCATTACGTAGATTATTCTCTGTTACCCCCACACTCTCTCTCTCTGTCTTGCATTCAATATGTCCTGTGAGTGTCAAATTCTCCACGCGTTCTTTCCTCCTTGTGTACTCTAAAAATTTCAATTGATTCTTCTTGATTTTAAGTATAAGTTTCCTTTTTGTTCCCATTTGCTCTAAAACTTCATCGTTGCTCACATGGTATTCTCAGGGTCTTCTGGTATAACCACATTTATGCTGCCTCAAGTCTCTTCTTCATCTGTGTTGCGATTGTTCAGCATTCACTGCCAAATAGGAGGACCGATATTACATGACCGTCCAGTACTCCTTTCTTAGTTTCTAATGAGATTTTCTTGTTGCTTAATACTTGTCTTAGATTTTGAAAGGAATCTTTCGCTATTCCAAAGTGTCTTCGGATTTCGGAGTCGCATTTTCCGTCGTCTGTTAAAACACTTTGATTTTGATGTTTCCAATTGGTTGTTCGCATCTTGGGATAGACTCTGTGTATGTGTACACATACATAACATGCATATTAAACTGTTTCTGTCTCAATCATTTCCTATGTATGTATGTATGTATGTATGTATCGATCTCAGTCCCGTTCTATATGTCTATCTATCTCAACCTCTTCCTATATCTCTATGTATCTATCCATCTATCGATCTCAGTCAACTTCCTATCTATCTATCTATCTATCGATCGATCGATTTCAATCTTTCAGTCTTTCGCTATCTATCTATCCTTCTTTCTTTCTATCTTTCTTTCTCAATCACTTCCTATCTATCTATCTATCTATCGATCGATTTCAATCTTTCAGTCTTTCTCTATCTATTTATCCTTCTTTCTTTCTTTCTTTCTTTCTTTCTCAATCTCTTCCTATCTATCTATCGAACGAGCTCTGTCACTTCCTATCTATCTATCTCTTTCTTTCTTTCTATCCCAATCTTTTCCTATCTATCTATCTATCTATCTATCTCAATCTCTTCCTGTCTATCTATCGATCGATTGATCGATCGATTTAAGTCTTTCCCTATCTATCTTTTTCTTTCTTTCTTTCTTTCTTTCTTTCTTTTCCAGTATTTATCTATCTATCTATCTATCTATCTATCTATCTATCTATCTATCTATCTATCTCAGTTCCTGGTCTGTTTTTTTTTATCTCCATTCTAAAATACCAACGAACCATTTAGCATTGGACAACCTTCTTTCAATATTTAACTTTGTTGCCCCCCAACGGTGAAATGCATATTCTTGAGTTTTGTTCTCCTGAAAAACAAACAGAGACTAATTCAGTTGCTGACCCGCCACTCAGGCGACATTTATTTTTAGCCATCTTGTTAAAGGAAAGTGGAAAATCCCTTTGGAAGTAGTACTTTTCTTCCAGCTCACAACTAAACTAAACAAATTCATATCAAAGTGAGGCAAGCAGTAATTTAAACTATTGAAAGAATAAAAAAGTATAAAAATTTCATGCAATAATATTCAAAATATCTGACTACAAGAAAAGGAGAATAATTAATATTAATATTATATTAATTCTTGACTATAATATCGTGTTTCTGTTGCCTTTCTACTCCCAGATCGCTGTTCTACGATCATTTGTAAAAAACGCGGATCGGAAATAAAACGAAATTTGAATTCTCATCCCTTATCTATATGAAAGTTGATGTACAAAAACATAACAACATTTACTAAGTTTACATAGTATGGCTTATTAACGGCATTTTTTCTTAAGAACAACATGTCAAATCAATGTCAGTGATTCCCAACGTGGGGCCATTGGTTGCGCATGCGTAGGATGTACACCCATCTGGTTAATTTTACCAACGGAATAAGGTGGCAATTCGAGAATGAGGTATTTACAGTTAATTTTTTGTTGTTCTTTAGAAAAAATGCCTCTAATGAGCCATACTATGATCGGTTTAGTAAATGTTGTTATTTTTTGTACAATATAAACGTTACTGATTATATATATATATATATATATATATATATATATATATATATATATATATATATATATATAAAAAAAAGAAGAAACCGCAAACGTTTTTGTGTTTTTTTGATTTGTAAAAAATAAAAATTATACTTCATTTTCCATAATGGAAATTATGGAAAATAAAGCATAATATTTTCTTAAAATCCACACAACCAAAAACGTTTGCGGTTTCTCTCTTCTTTTAATATACACACTTTTCTCTCGTTGGAACTATTATAACCTCTTCCTTTTATATACATACATATATATATATATATATATATATATATATATATATATATATATATATATATATATATATTTACTACAGGTATTTCCTTTATCCGAAATTCCAAAATACGAAAACCTCCAATATCCGAAAGTTTTTCAGGTGTTGACATGACTTGCCACAAATGGAAAATTTCAAAAGCAACATGGCTGCAAGTAGCATGATTATTGCGCTGCGGCGTTACAAATAAAATGTTTATTCCTTTCGGTTTTCATTACATTTAACTGTAATCACAATCCATGTATTGTTTTTAAGCAAATACTGAATCTGTCTGTATTTTAACATTTTAATCAAAAGACGACATCATTGGTAGTGACTGATAACTTACCAAATATTCCTTCTCACACTCCCGTTAATATCATCGATGATTTACACTCTCCCTCCATTTTCTCAAACCTGATATAGAAGGAGCGTTTGGTGTTGCATTTATATATATATATATATATATATATATATATATATATATATATATATATAGTAGTGTTTTTTTGTACGCATACAGAGAGTAAAAAAAACAAAAAAAAACATTATTTTTACGTGAAATCTTAATTTCACCACTTAAAAATCCATATGAGTATTAAATGATAAGGATCATGACCTGTATATGAATGTACACGAATTTTATTAAATTTTATATAAAACTATTTTCAAGGTATATGTTATTTATGTAAAACTATCTTCACGGTATATGTACAAGCAATGTTATGAAATGTAAAGGGATATCATGTTTATACTTGGGTTCCATTCCCAAGCCACACCATTTTTATCTATTGTTCCGGCGTTTCATCTTTGTAATAAGGGCTGCTAATGTATTTCTATTCACGACTGGCTTTTTCTCGGACAAAATGGCGCGCTTCTAAAATTAGAGCAACTTTATTCTCCTTTCCGTTTCTCGTTAACCTATTTACACGCTTGCAAAATCACAGAAATGCCAGTGGTAAATATCGAACGAAGAATTCCACTATTTCAAATTCACTTACAATACCTACAATTAAATATTAAAAAAATATTAGCTTTTCAATGACATTTACAATATCTATCTACGAACATCTTATTCAGCGAGACGATACTTAGAGAGCGAGAGGACCCACAAGGATTTGTTATCGGTCGACATAATCTAACAATATACGCTGCTGACACGGTTTTCATGGTAGAATCAGAAAAAGAACGCTTAGAGAAGTTTGTACTAGAAAGCGGGAAGAAAGGACTAACTGTGAAAAAAAAAAAACAGAATATAGAGTCCTCAACAAAAGCGACTGCTGAAGGTGTAAGTTACATATTGGAGATGTTAAAATCAAGCCGGTAACAATTGTTCTCCGCTATGGTGTTAACAAGCGAGTCTCAGAGATCCTCACTTGGTGCCCCCACCACATACAATTGTGGTACTTTGTAACTCATTCAGAAATGTCTCAGTTATATACAACCGCTTTCTTGGATCAATTGTTAAAAATGACATTAAGCAAATGAAACCTGTAACTCTTAGCGAGGACCAATATTCTTCGAAACACGTCGACTGGCGCTACAGATTCACAAAGAACTGTACCAGATAAGAGAAACAACATCCCTTAATGATTTTCAATATCAGAAACAACTAAAGCGTAGAGAATATGTAACTCGAAGAGACAATAATGACATTATCAAGATGTTGATATTCCACACGACTTCAAACAAAAGGTTAGGAAGGAAGCCGCCAACAATCATGAAAAGAGCGATAACAGTGAACTTGAAAAAACTATTTTTCGAAAAATATTATTTTTATAAAAAGATTTTTAAAAGTTTAACTGAAAATAGCACTGGCTGTTTGATCAATGAATGCCGAATGTTTCCTATACGGAAACAACTAATATTGCCATTACAGTTAGTAATGAGAACAACAGATGCTACACTTTGATCCTAGCCCGATGTTCAGGGTTTGAAGAAAAAGATAACTCGAGTAGAACAAAGCTGTTCGGTCAATGAATGCTTAATGTTTCCTTATAAGGAAACAAGTGATATTAGTATTACCATTAATTAAAAAAAGAAACTCATGTCTCTTTTGATTGTAAGTAATCAGGACTTCCGAGGGATTCCTTTTCTTTATTATCAGTAAATTGTCATCCCTTCTTGGGAAAGATAAGCAAGTGATTTCTGTTGCCTACTTGATGTTTTTGAATTCAGTGTAGTTCTTCTTAATGATATGTAGCCGATGGGTTAGAACGTTAGTGTTCCGACTATGAGTCTCTGGTTTGAATCCCACCACGTTTGATTTATCAAAGCGGCGGTTTCTTGATAAGATCATCTGGAAAGTTAATTCCACCTTGTGACACCATTGGTCAGCATTTGAAAATAATACCACTGGTTGATCCAAATCTTGTGACTGAAATTGGGTAACTGTATGTGGGTGCACGAAGTCACACGTCGTTATGTCCGAGATTGTGAGCGTAGCGTACTGCTCTGATTCAACTAATGATCAGGCCAGATGCTCTCTCTCTCCCTCTGTCTCTCTCCCTCTGTCTCTCTGTCTCTGTCTCTGTCTCTGTCTCTGTCTCTGTCTCTCTCTCTCTCACACACACACACACACACACACTCCCATAAACTAAGGTTTGCTCAGCTGAATGGCAGTATAAACGTGTGGGTGTTGATGTGCCTGAACAGACGTCTGCAATAGGGATTAACTAGTCTCCACTAGCAGATTAGCATACTATAGGCTGGCTGCCACGTATGATTAAAGAGCTCAATTTGCCGTGCTATTGGACGCATATCTAGGAGAAGAGACGGTGGATCCGTGCCTTTCCGAGGGCCATCAGTGAGAATCTGGACCGGCCGGAATTTGAACTCGGCTCGCCGATTCGACTTACTGCACACCCATACATTTGTCTCTTTCATTTTTTTTTTCGGCATCAGGGACTTAGCTTTTCCGACTGTCAACCGATCACTATCAGATTCACCAAAGACATCCTTCCTCTGTTTGCGATGTTAAGGTCACCCTTCTTGACAACTCCCACAAATGTCAGCCGGAATTTCTGGTTGTCCTGGCTTTGACTGCGTTTCTCTATGAACCCACCGTAATTAATTCGGTTGGCAACTGTGTACCCACAATGCCCTTGATCAAATCACTTCCTTATGTTTTCCTTTCCGGATACATTAACAGCAGAAAGACAACTTGTAGGTGGCACTTGAAAGTATAGCTCAGAGGTAAAAGCTCAGGGCCCTGGCTGAAAGGATTATAGATGTTACCAAAGCTCTTTGAGGGAATTGATATTTACTAAGACGGTGCAATCTGTCGATTAAAATGGTGTAGCTGCAACATAAAATAAAACGAATCTAGTTTATAAAATAATTTTTATTTTAATTTTTGAGAGACAGGCTCAGATTCAGTCAGTGAGTCCCTATTTCTCCCTTCTGTCACTTCTTCCCTCCCTCCCACTCTTCGCTCTCTCTCTCTCTCTCTCTCTCTCTCTCTCTCTCTCTCACTATGGAGGGATTATACTGTGGAATTTCTCTATCCTCTCTCTCTCTCTCTCTCTCTCTCTCTCTGAAGGGATTATACTGTGGAATTTCTCTATCCTCTCTCTCTCTCTGTCTCTCTCTCTCTCTCTCTCTATCACTAAGGAGGATTATACTGTGGAATTTCTCTATCCTCTCTCTCTCTCTCTCTCTCTATCACTACATACTGTGGGCCTTTCTCTATCCTCTCTCTCTCTCTCACTATGGAGGGATTATACTGTGGAATTTCTCAATCCTCTCTCTCTCTCTCTCTCTCTCTCTCTCTCTCTCACTATGGAGGGATTATACTGTTTTCTCTATCCTCTCTCTCTCTCTCTCACTATGGAGGGATTATACTGGCTCAATCCTCTCTCTCTCTCTTATACTCTCTCTCTCTCTCTCTCACTATGGAGGGATTATACTGTGGAATTTCTCTTCCTATCCTCTCTCTCTCTCTCACTATGGAGGGATTATACTGTGGAATTTCTCCTCTCTCTCTCTCTCTCACTATGGAGGGATTATACTGTGGAATTTCTCTATCCTCTCTCTCTCTCTCTCTCTCTCTCTCTCTCTCTCACTAAGGAGGATTATACAATTTCTCAATATCTCTCTCTCTCTCTCTCTCTCTCTCTCACTATGGAGGGATTATACTGTGAATTTCTCTATCCTCTCTCTCTCTCACTATGGAGGGATTATACTGTGAATTCTCTATCCTCTCTCTCTCTCTCTCTCTCTCTCTCTCACTACTATGGAGGGATTATACTAATCTCTCTCTCTCTCTCACTATGGAGGATTATACTGCATCCTCTCTCTCACTCTCTCTCTCACTGGAGGGATTATACTGTGGAATTTCTCTATCCTCTCTCTCTCTCTCTGGAGGGATTATGGAGGATTTCTCAGGTCTCTCTCTCTCTCTCTCTCTCTCTCTATGGAGGGATTATGCTGTGGGGCTCTATCCTCTCTCTCTCTCTCATTATACTCTCTCCTCTCTCTCTCTCTCTCTCTCTCTATCTCTATGGATTATGGGATTTCTCTATCCTCTCTCTCTTCTCTCTCTCTCTCTCTCACTCTGTGGGTTTCTCTCTCTCTCTCTCTCTCACTATGGAGGGATTATTTGATATCCTCTCTCTCTCTCTCTCTCTCTCTATGGAGGGACCTCAATCTCTCTCTCTCTCTCTCTCTCTCTCTATGGAGGTACTGTGGAATTTCTCTATCTCTCTCTCTCTCTCACTATGGAGGGATTATGCTGTGGAATTTCTCTATCCTCTCTCTCTCTCTCACTATGGAGGGATTATAAATCTCTCTCTCTCTCACTCTCTCTCTCTCTCTCTCTCTCTCTCTCTCTCTCTCTCTCTATCACCAAGGAGGATTATACTAATTTCTCTATCTCTCTCTCTCTCTCTCTCTCTCTCTCTATCACTAAGGAGGATTATACTGTGAATTTCTATCCTCTCTCTCTCTCTCTCTCTATCACTAAGGAAGACTCTATCTCTCTCTCTCACTATGGAGGATTATACTGGGTGGCTCTATCCTCTCTCTCTCTCTCTCTCTCTCTCTCTCTCTCTCACTATGGAGGGATTATACTGTGGAATTTCTCTATCCTCTCTCTCTCTCTCACTATGGAGGATTATACTGTGGAATTTCTCTATCTCTCTCTCTCTCTCTCTCTCACTATGGAGGGGTTATACAATTTCTCTATCCTCTCTCTCTCTCTCACTATGGAATTATACTGTGGAATTTCTCTGTCCTCTCTCCTCTCTCTCTCTCTCTCTCTCTCTCTCTCTCTCTCTATCACCAAGGAGGGATTATACTGTGGAATTTCTCTATCCTCTCTCTCTCTCTCTCTCTCTCTCTATCACTAAGAGGGATTATACTGTGGAATTTCTCTATCCTCTCTCTCTCTCTCTCTCTATCACTAAGGAGGGATTATACTGTGAATTTCTATCCTCTCTCTCTCTCTCTCACTATGGAGGATTATACTGTGGAATTTAAAATTATACTGTGGAATTTCTATCCTCTCTCTCTCTCTCACTATGGAGGGATTATACTGTTTTCTGGAGGATTATACTGTGGAATTTCTCTATCCTCTCTCTCTCTCTCACTATGGAGGATTATACGAATTTCTAGGAGGGATTATACTGTGGAATTTTCCTCTCTCTCTCTCTCTCACTATGGAGGATTATACTGTGGAATTTCTACCTCTCTCTCTCTCTCTCTCTCTCTCTATCACTAAGGAGGATTATACTGTGGAATTTCTCTATCCTCTCTCTCTCTCTCTCTCTCTCTCTCTCTCACTATGGAGGGATTATACTGTGGAATTTCTCTTCTCTCTCTCTCTCACTATGGAGGGATTATACTGTGGAATTTTCTCTATCCTCTCTCTCTCTCTCTCTCTCTCTCTATCACTAAGGAGGGATTATACTGTGGAATTTCAATCTCTCTCTCTCTCTCTCTCTCTCTCTCTCTCTCACTATGGAGGGATTATACTGTATCCTCTCTCTCTCTCTCACTATGGAGGGATTATACTGTGAATTTCTCTATCCTCTCTCTCTCTCTCTCTCTCTCTCTCACTATGGAGGGATTATACTGTGGAATTTCTCTATCCTCTCTCTCTCTCTCTCACTATGGAGGGATTATACTGTGGAATTTCTCAATCCTCTCTCTCTCTCTCTCTCTCTCTCTCTCATGGAGGGATTATACTGTGGAATTTCTATCCTCTCTCTCTCTCTCACTATGGAGGATTATACTGTGGAATTTCAATCCTCTCTCTCTCTCTCTCTCTCTCTCACTATGGAGGGATTATACTGTGGAATTTCTCTATCCTCTCTCTCTCTCTCACTATGGAGGGATTATACTGTGGAATTTCTCTATCCTCTCTCTCTCTCTCTCTCTCTCTATCACTAAGGAGGGATTATACTGTGGAATTTCTCTATCCTCTCTCTCTCTCTCTCTCTCTCTCTCCACTATGGAGGGATTATGCTCTCTCTATCCTCTCTCTCTCTCTCACCTATGGAGGGATTATACTGTGGAATTTCTCTATCCTCTCTCTCTCTCTCTCTCTCTCTATCACTAAGGAGGATTATACTGTGAATTTCTCTATCCTCTCTCTCTCTCTCTCTCTCTCTCTCTATCACTAAGGAGGGATTATACTGTGGAATTTTTTCTCTCACTATGGAGGGATTATACTGTGGAATTTCTCTATCCTCTCTCTCTCTCTCTCTCTCTCTCACTATGAAGGGATTATACCATGGATTTCTCTATCCTCTCTCTCTCTCTCACTATGGAGGGATTATACTGTGGAATTTCTCTATCCTCTCTCTCTCTCTCCTATGGAGGGATTATACTGGGAATTTCTCTATCCTCTCTCTCTCACTATGGAGGGATTATACTGTGAATTTCTCTATCCTCTAAAGCTCTCTCTCTCTCTATCACTAAGGAGGGATTACTGCTGGAATTTCTCTATCCTCTCTCTCTCTCTCTCTCTCTGTCACTAAGGAGGGATTATACTGTGGAATTTCTTATCTCTCTCTCTCTCTCTCTCTCTAACTAAGGGGATTATACTGTGAATTCCTCAATCCTCTCTCTCTCTCTCTCTCTCTCTCTCTATCACTAAAATTATACTGTGGAATTTTCTCTATCCTCTCTCTCTCTCTCTCTCTCTCTCTCTCTCTCTCTATCACTATGGAGGGATTATACTGTGGAATTCTATCCTCTCTCTCTCTCTCCTATGGAGGGATTATACTGTGTGGAATTTCTCTAACTATGGAATTGTTTCTCCTCTCTCTCTCTCACTATGGAGGGATTATACTGTGGAATTTCTCAATCCTCTCTCTCTCTCTCTCTCTCTCTCTCACTATGGAGGGATTATACTGTGAATTTCTCTATCCTCTCTCTCTCTCTCACTATGGAATTATACTGTGGAATTTCCTATCCTCTCTCTCTCATCACTCTCTCTCTATATACTGGAGGAATTTTCTCCTATCCTCTCTCTCTCTCTCTCTCTCTCTCTCTATCACTAAGGAGGGATTATACTGTGGAAAATCCTCTCTCTCTCTCACTATGGAGGGATTATACTGTGGAATTTCTCTATCCTCTCTCTCTCTCTCACTATGGAGGATTATACTGTGGAATTTCTCAATCCTCTCTCTCTCTCTCTCTCTCTCTCTCTCTCTCTCTCTCTAACTCAATTATACTGTGGAAATCCTCTCTCTCTCTCTCTCACTATGGAGGATTATACTGTGGAATTTCTCTCCTCTCTCTCTCACTATGGAGGGATTATACTGTGAATCTCTCAATCCTCTCTCTCTCTCTCTCTCTCTCTCTCTCTATCACTAAGGATGGATTATACTGTGTAATTTCTCTATCCTCTCTCTCTCTCTCTCACTATGGAGGGATTATACTGTGGAATTTCTCTATCCTCTCTCTCTCTCTCTCTCTATCACTAAGGAGGGATTATACTGTGGAATTTCATCCTCTCTCTCTCTCTCTCTCTCTCTATCACTAAGGAGGGATTATACTGTGGGAGGGATTATACTGTGGAATTTCTCCCTATCCTCTCTCTCTCACTATGGAGGGATTATACTGTGGAATTTCTCTCCTCTCTCTCTCTCACTATGGAGGATTATACTGTGAATTTCAATCCTCTCTCTCTCTCTCTCTCTCTCTATCATGGAATTTCTCTATATCACTATGGAAAACTCTCTCTCTCTCTCTCTCTCTCTCTCTCTCTCTCTCTATCACTAAGGAGGGATTATACTGTGGAATTTCTCTATCTCTCTCTCTCTCTCTCACTTGACTCTCTCTCTCTCTCTCTATCACTAAGGAGGGATTATACTGTGGAATTTCTCTATCCTCTCTCTCTCTCTCTCACTGGAGGGATTATACTGGATTTCTCTATCTCTCTCTCTCTCTCTCTCTCTACCAAGGATGGATTATACTGTGTAATTTCTCTATCCTCTCTCTCTCTTCACTATGGAGGGGATTATACTGTGGAATTTCTCAATCCTCTCACTGGAGGATTATACACTCTATCCTCTCTCTCTCTCACTATGGAGGGATTATACTGTGGAATTTCTCAATCCTCTCTCTCTCTCTCTTTTTATCACTAAGGAGGGATTATACTGTGGAATTTCTCCTCTCTCTCTCTCTCTCTCTATCACTAAGGATACTGAATTTCTAATCCTCTCTCTCTCTCTCTTATTGAAAAGTCCAGTGCTACTAAATTTTGATTTTGTCTTCCGTAATGGATTTTTCAAATAAGCTGATTTAACTCCATTTTGTTGAACAGAAAGTCAGGTACTACTTAAATAGAATGGTCCACTCATAAAAAAAAATAGTGAAATTATTTTTTTGGAAACGGGAGTAAGATTGTTCTTTTGTAGATTAGCATTCTGTTCTGGAAAGTGTGAAATCGAAATCCCAGGGTTGATTGTGATAAAGAAAGATGTTTTCCAAAAGCTAAGCAACATATTCAGAAACAGAAAAATGTCGTTAGAAACAAAGAAAAGCATAATTAACTTTTACGTAATATGAGTCCTCCTCTGTAGCAGTGAATACTGGACAATCTAGTAGGTGAAGAGGCTTGAAGCAACAGAAATGTGGTTCTACAGAAGGATGCTGAGGATACCGTGAACTAAACATGTGAGCAACGCCAAAGGTTTAAAGAAAATGGAAACTAATACTTGACATCAGGAAAAGACAGTTGCTACCACCGCGAGTCATGATGGACCTGGGAACACCCACAATTAAGGGGTGGTTCCACGCTCCTCAAAACCCCCAATCTCCCAAACAAAGGCCTTGCTGCCTGATGTAGTTTATCGTCATACCCAGGACTAGAGTTTGCTAGAGTATAGTGATTTTCCAAGCGTAGCTTAGATGTGGCACAAGGCCGGAAGTATGAGGCACCCAGTAAGGATCGAACTCACTATACTGCGGTAACTGTTCTAGAGAGACAAGCTTGCTAACCATTACACCGCCTCGAGGTGCCCACGTTCGTTAGCGTATATCTTTGTATTTATTTATTACTAATGTTCACCCAATACAAAGCCCAATAGTCAATCAAGGTAGAGAATTACTTAGTGGAGTTATATTAGCGTAAAAAAAGGCAAGTTAACAGGAAAGATAGGCAGCTAATTCTAGAGTTGAAGAGGTCAAAATTTAATTAGCGAATAAAATTTCAGAATTCAGGCTGAGGCGTTAGGAGTATAGAGTTGAAGCAGACATTAGAAAGGATCGGAAACGCAAACCTAAACAGGAAACAAGGAATAAACCTCTAATCTTATTGAAAAGAGAGGGGAGGAGTGTGAACCGGACGATATGTAAACCTATTTACTCCTATTGAGAGAGGAAAAAAATAATTGCTGAATAAAATTTCAGATTTCAAGAGACGTCAGAAGTACAGAGCTGATGAAGCCAGAAACCCAATCCTAAACAGGAAACAAGAGATAAACTTCTACTCTTGTTCAAAAAATCAAGGAGAATTATGAACCGGAGAATTATGAACCGGGCGATAGGGAAACTATGTATTCTTACTGGGGGAGGAGAAATATAATTAGTGAAAAACAATTCAGAGTTTAAGCAGAGACGTTAGTGAATTTTCAAATTCAAAAGAGTATATTTGTGTTAAGATGAGGCAAGCCAAGCTGGTATTTTTTCGTTAATATCTCCCTTATATGCTTTCTTTCTTTTTTTTTTTTTATTAGTTTGTTTTTTTTTTTTTTTTATCTTAGGATACTCATATTTTATTTTATCGCCTCCTGTTTTTAAAATTCTAGGGAATTAAATACTCTACCACCCTTATTTGGTACCCGGCCATTTATTCGAGAATCAAGAATTTCTAACTTTAGCAACCCTTGGCTGTCAAATGTAACCCAATTCGCGACTCGTAACACAAAAAACTAGCAACTCTAGTGCCATGTCGTCGACAATAACAGCTTTCCACGTCATCATGATTTGCTTATTTATTTATTTAGTGACCTTTAGTATTAAATTCGATTCTCACTGGCTGCCCGCAAATGTGTATCGCTCTCAGAATAAAATAAGTCTAGTCTTGGTGGCAATGAGTGTCACCGACAGTGCAAAAAAAATTAAAACATGAGTAGATCCTGTATGGAGCTCAATCTGTTCATGTTATCACACCAAAATGCCGATGCCTGTCCATTTCCCTGGGATTAAGAGCAAAATCCTAACGATCTTTAAAATGATGAATGGCCATTTACATCCGGGACAGCCAACAATAGGCTGACACGAGGGAGGCAAACGAAGCGATATTTAAGTAAGCATTCTCCTCCGCAAAGACCACTTAACCACGAACCTTGGGAAATGGCGTGGGGTCTGGAAAACACTGAGTTTACAAGCAATTTGCTTTTGTCAAACATCTAATTTCGACCAAGAGGGCTTAATAGACCCCATTTTTTTTCTTTTCCTTTCTTTTAGTAGCTAAAGAGATACAATAAGAAACACAGTACACAACAGGATTTGCGGTTGTCTTACGAGAACAATGGATTACACATCTCGAGTTACATTTTTTATGTTATTATTCACCCAGTATAAGGCCCAAGTGCCACTCAAGGTCTTACCGCCACATCACGTAGCAACACAAGTTTCCGTACGATCTTAGAAGTTAAGCAACGTCGAGTCCGGTCAGTACATAGACGGGTGACGGTTTAGGAATACCATGCGCGATAAGCTTGGATGTGCGGGTGGTGTAATGGATAATGGCTCGAAATTGTTAATCGGAGAACCAAGTTCTAATTCCAGTACAGTTCGTTATGAATCCACCTATTCTCCTTCTACCTATGGGTTAATTAGTAAGACTTGTATCACTAAAATCATTATTATTTCGAAAAAAAGACATTCTTACAAACTAAAAATATTTTCTGGCTTTAAACAATCTGCAAAGAGTTGATAAGCCGTAAAAAATGAATCACCCAATTAATCAATATAATTGTAAAGAGGATTGTTATTTTTTTTTTTTTTTTTTGTAGTCTATACTGTGTTTTGTAATATATCACGCCTTATGAGTGAAAACCGGGTAGCCGGAAACCTCCTACGAAGTCACAAGTCATCGTGACCGAGGGTCTGAATGTGCTGGCCTAGTCCAGACTATTGATCACGGACACCCACGGACAGGCTGTTTCGCAGCTCATCAGTTTGTATAGACGCCCGTTTTGCCTTTAGTTAAGATCGAAACCCGGCTGAACTGGCGTCACTAAACCGACGGCACACGGCAGGGATGAAGGTGAATTTAAGCGTATTTATTTTTAGATAAACACAGTAACTGAGAGGTCTCATATGTATACACACACACCCACATATATATATATATATATATATATATATATATATATATATATATATATATATATATATATATATATATATATATATATATATATGAGTGCGGCTGACACCTCTACGTGGTGTAATGATGCTTTTCTAATCGTAGGTAAGATGTGGAACAAGACCAAAAGTATGGGACACCAAGTGAGGATCGAACACACAGCTGAGTCGTAACTGATCTAGCGAGACAAGCTTGCTAACCATTACAACGTGGAAGCTCTCCCTAGGCGTGGTGTAACGATTAGCAAGGTTAGCAAGCTAGACCAATTACGACTGAGTAAGGAGTTTGATTCTCACTAGGTACCCCTTACTTTCGGCGTTGTGACACATCTACGATGCGCTTAGAAAACCATCGTGTGTGCCCGCGTTCACCTACTCGGCGAATATAACCTGGCTACGTCAGGAAACCCCATTTTAGTTAACTATTGAAACAGAAAGTAGGCAAACATTAAGTTTTTATCTTTATTTTTTTTTTTTTTTCATATCGACTTGTCTAGGAGATTCTAAATTCTCGACACTGTTCATCTTTCAAACAAGATCCTATGTTGTTAGGGATTAGTACCAGACGATCTGCCTTGAAAAGAAATATTTGGCGGGGAGTGTCGGAAAGTATTTATTTTCTAAAGAACCAAAGGCATTTTTCTAGTTGAGGAGACGGGGGTCTGGTTAAAATGATAGAGGGAGAGAAGGGTAGTGTGTTGTTGGGATTTGGGAGCATTTCTTGGCGACAGGGCATCAGACAGATCACAATCCTTCACTATCCAGAATATTCAAGTTGCCAATTTTCAACAGGTCAAATGTGGACTACCGTTGATAAACGAAGAAAAATGTTATTTACAACACTTATCTTATTATAAGAGGTAATGGATAAAGACTGTATATGAGAAATCCTAGAGCCAAGTTCGAATTCCGGTCAGGTTTGTTGCATTCACTTACGCGCAAATAACCTTGGGAAAGAAGTGAATCCATCTCTTCTTAAAGAATGCTATATTTATGGGTTTATGTGTTTAATATCGGGTATAGACCTATATATATAAATAGTTGAGCAAAATTACAGTACATACGGTCTGATGATTGCATATAAGCATGAAACAAACTTATTGTTAGTTTCAATGTTCATTTTAATCTTCAAGAACTACAAACAAATCCTACATTTGTTTGTAGGTTTTGAAGATTTGAGAGCTGCTTTCTTTTTAGAGCTCTCATGAAATAAAAATTATTATCTTTTTTTTAAACGTTTGATATTCTTTAATTAATGATAATTTTGCTCTCTCTTTTAACATATAGCTCGCCCTTGATCAATATCCTGGAAATTCCATACGGATTAACATATTGTATGATTACTATATATATATATATATATATATATATATATATATATATATATATATATATATAGTTGTATATTTAGGCAGCAATCCTTCCTTTATGCATGTTTCATTAAAAACGACAGACAAGGTACTACGGTTAAGCTTTTTATTTAATTTTTCTTGTGTTCGGACAAGAGCTTTCTTTTCTGGACCCTTTGTCCAGAAATGAAAGCTCTTCTCAGATCCTAGATGTATCCCCCATATATATATATATATATATATATATATATATATATATATATGATTTTCTAAGCGTAGTTTAGATGTGACACAAAGCCGAAAGCGTGGGTGAGGATTATATTCACTACTCAGTCATAACTGAACTTGCTAGGCTTAGGAAATCACTGAATCACTTGTTGAGGTGTGATGGTTAACAAGCTGGTTTCGCAGCTGATTAA